CCCCTCCGTGTGCCGTTCGGCGAGTCTCAGACACACACACACACACACACACACACACACACACACACACAGTGAGAGGGTCGTACCATGTGGCAGGTTGCGGGGGGGAACGGGAGGCGCCATGACGCCAACGTGAGCCGAGAGGAAAGGGAGGACGTCTCTCGTGCCGCTGTCCAAACTCCAGCTACTGGGGGTGGTGAGGACTGGAGGAGAATCAACATCTATTTATTTATTTCATATTTTATTCAATATGCTCCTTAGATAACTTTTTATTTTATTTGTTTTATTATTTTCTCCTCATAGCATTGTGAAGCACCTTGAGATGACGTTGTTTTAAAGTGTGCTTTATAAATGAAATGTATTATTATTTATTTCATCAAACCTTGGTAAAACGAAATGTTAGTTGTATCCAGAAAGTCGCCATATTTGTTTCCTTTTTTTATTACTGCCACATTTTATTCCATTTAACTCCAGTCTATTTCTATGTAAAAACTATATATTTTACTATATTTTTTATTATTTATAATATTTTTTTATGTTATTATAGTTTTCTTAAAATAATTCTCTTATCTGCGTTTTTACTTTTATGTATGCACCATGACACCAAGTCAAATTCCTCGCACGTGTCAACCGGAGGTGGCGATAGACCTTTTCGCTGCTTGTCATTTTGACGGACAGGATCGATCGACATTTCCGTCAAAATCCATTCCTACCCGTCGGTCTGTACACGACTCTGACGAGGGGCGCACGCTCGTGAACTGTTAGCACCGTGTTACCCATGCTCACTGCACCTCGCGGGAGCACGCGCAGCGTAAACTCTCCCTGACATTTCAATGATTTATTCTGCAAAGTTAGGTTTGGAAACGATATAATTTCCTTTTTGGCGGGCATGCATAACACGGCATAACACCAGAGCCTCGCTGCGGGGAAGCTTTGGCGCTGTTCCGAGTTCGTTCTAATCCGTCAAAATGAAAAGACTGCTTTCAGATTTTTCCGTTATTGTTTGTTCGGTTAACGCGACCACTGGTGTCAACCTACCTGGTAATAAACCTGTTTCTAAATCTGAATCTGATATGTGTACCCCTGGTGGGCTAATTATGCTGAATAGTGTGTCGATTAGAAGACTCAAAACTCTCGCTCATAGATTGAATTGATTCAACATCCTCAATATACCTAAAAAAACACACCAAAATTGTCCAAATCGGCCAAGCCATTTCTTAGCTATCGTCTGCATAATATGCTAACTAATGCAAATTAATGCAACTTCAGCCAATTGTATATCTTTCTCTTGTTTTTCTGTCTGCGCTCTCACGCAAAATGAAATGTTAGTTTTAACCAGAAAGTGTCCGTATTTCTACCCCTGGTGGGATGAGTATGCTGAATTTTGTGTCGATTTGAAAGTCTTAGAAGATTCAAAACTCAGATTCAAAGATGAAATTGATTAAACATCCTCAATATACTTTTTTTTAAAAAGCACCAAAATGTTCCAAATCGGCCAAGCCATTATTTAGCTATTCTCTGCATATGCTAACTAATGCTAATTCACGCAACTTATGCCAATTGTATATCTTTCTCCTCCTGTTTTTCTGACGGTCCTCTCACCTTTCTCGGCCACAGAGAGGTTTGGGTCGCTGCAGGGTTTGCACGGTCCGATCATCACCTGGTGGAACAAAGCCCTCTGGAGGTTCGTAGGCTGAAAGAGACATAAATCATGTTAAGATTTAAGGTTTTTTAAATGTCCTTGAAACACACCGTACATATTTAAATAACATATTGTAATGCAAGGTATTCCAAGTAGCAGACATAAAAAGGAGTTGATTCTGATTCTGATTCAGATAATGACTTAACACTTAAAAACCTTCAATGCATCTTGAAGTCACTCCCTGGCCTCCTACCTGTCCGTTCTCGATGTTTGAGTACATGGCGCTGCTCGGCCGGTCTCTGTGAGGCGGCAGCAGCATCAACATCTCTCGGTTGTGTCGATATTTGTCCGGAAGAGAAGGAGAGCCCACTGCAGACACAAGAGATTTGATTTAATTCGAACGTGTAAAACAATAATTGTTAGACAAATCTCCCTGGTCCCCGGCTTGAGCTTGAATCTCAGGATCCATGTATCTGGGATCCTCTCCAGAATGGAAGTAGTCATCACATACAGAGCATCAACTAGTTCCTGAACAGTGTCCTTCACATGCTGATATCCAAGAGAGGGAGTTCCACAGTCACAAGATGGAGGAATAGAAAGCAGTATTCAATGTTTACTTCAGATTAGCTCCACGTCAGAAATGAGCATGCTTGTCATATGTCTCTCTCCATAGAGGCTGAACCATTCCGGGAAAAGATTGTCCCACTCTTGACCTAACAATCAACATCGGCACCTCTGTTGTTTCCCCGACTCAGACTGCAAGGAATCTGGGTGTGACCCTAGATAACAAACTGTCCTTCACTGCAAACATCTCTGCTACAACCCGCTGCTGCAGATACACTCTTTACAATATCAGGAGGATACGTCCCCAGCTGACCCAGACATCAGTGCAGGTTCTGGTCCAGGCCCTCGTCATCTCACGCCTAGACTACTGCAACTCCCTCCTGGCTGGTCTACCTGCATGTGCCATCTGACCTCT